CACTCAAGCTAGTGTGATGTGACAGCTGAGGAACTCAGTGATAGTTATGGTGTGGATAGGATTTAGGTGGCTGACCCCTGTTGCCACCAGTGTTACAATTTAGGCCTGTTCTACACTATGAGTTTATGTCGGATTTAGCAGCGTTAAATCAACTTAACCCTGCACCCATCCACACAACGAAACCATTTTTTTCTACATAAAGGGCTCTTAAAACCGATTTCTGTACTCCTCCCCAATGAGGGGATTAGCACTGAAATCGGCATCGCTGTTTCAAATTAGGGTTAGTGTGGATGCAATTTGACGGTGTTGGCCTCCGGGAGCTATCCCACAGTGCACCATTGTGACCGCTCTGGACAGCACTCTGAACTCGGATGCACTGGCAAGGTGTACAGGAAAAGCCCCGGCAACTTTTGAATCTCACTTCCTGTTTGGCCAGGCGAGCTTATCAGCACAGGTGACCATGCAGTCCCAGAATCGAAAAAGAGCTCCAGCATGGACTGAACGGGAGGTACTGGATCTGATCGCTGTATGGGGAGAGGAATCCGTGCTATCAGAACTACGTTCCAAAAGATGAAATGCCAAAACATTTCAAAAAATCTCCAAGGCCATGAGGGACAGAGGCTACAGCAGGGACGCAACACAGTGCCGCGTGAAACTTAAGGAGCTCAGGCAAGCGTACCAGAAAACCAAAGAATCAAACGGACGCTCTGGGACAGAGCCCCAGACATGCCACTTCTACGCTGAGCTGCATGCAATTCTAGGGGGGGGCCACCACCACTACCCCACCCCAGTCTGTGGTCTCCGATGATGGGGTACTGTCTGCCATGCCTGAGGATTTTGTGGACGGGGAAGATGAGGAGGACGAGGAGGATGAGCTTGAGGAGAGCACACAGCACACCGTTCTCCCTGGCAGCTAGGATCTTTTTCTCACCCTGACTGAAATACCCTCCCAACCCAACGAAGCCGGAGAAAGGACCTCTGGTGAGTGTACCTTTTTAAATATAATACATGTTATAAAAGCAAGCATTTTTTAATGATTAAGTAGCCCTGAGGACTTGGGATGCATTCATGGCCAATACAGCTACTGGAAAAGTCTGTTAACATGTCTGGGGATGGAGCGGAAATCCTCCAGGGACATCTCCATGAAGCTCTCCTGGAGGTACTCTAAAAGCCTTTGCAGAAGGTTTCTGGGGAGAGCAGCCTTATTCCGTCCTCCATGGTAGGACACTTAACCATGCCATGCTAGTAGCAAATAATCTGGTATCATTGCATGACAAAGCCTGGCAGCGTATGGTCCCGGTGTTTGCTGGCATTCAAGCAACATCCGTTCTTTATCTCTCTGTGTTATCCTCAGGAGAGTGATATTGTTCATGATAATCTGGTTGAAATAGGGGAATTTAATTAAGGGAACATTCAGAGGTGGCAGTTCCTACTGGGCTGTTTGCCTGGGGCTGAAAAGAAATCTTCCCTGCAGTTAGAGTGGGGGGGGGGGCGTTGTCGCTGAGCTGTTTGTGTTTGGCTAGCAGGGATCTTCCCTGATACCAGCCTTGCAGTGGGGTGAGGGGTAAAGTGATCATCCCAGAGAATTGGATGCGGGGTGGGGTTAGTTTTGTTTCTACTGCATCACATTAACAGGAAAACCTCAGCACTAAATGGCAAACTCAACGTGCTTTGCTTGGTATGGGAGAGGAGGGCGCTGCTGTTATGAAGGTTGCAGAAGCCGAAAGACTATGGCTTACCATGGCTGCCTGCAAGCCAAATTCTGTTACCCGGCACTGCGTGTGTGATCTCTCACACCAAAGCCGCAGGCACTCAATATAAGATGCAAAATGCGACCTTGTACCAAAATCACATATGCTATGTAATGTGAATAGTGTTGTTCACCGTGAAAGAGTATAGCCATTGTTCTGTAAAATGTATTTTCACTCCCTTTTTTTCCTCCAGTAGCTGTAAATGTTTCAAGCCCCCCTGCTCCGTCCCAAAGGCTATCTCAGATAAGGCGGTGAAAAAAACACACACGCGATTAAATGTTCTCTGAGCTCATGCAGTCGTCCGGCACTGACAGAGCTCAGCAGAATGTGTGGAGGGACACAATAGCAGAGTACAGGAAAGTGGCCGATGAACGTGAGGAGAGGTGGCGGCACGAAGATCAGAGGAGGCATGAAGCAACGCTGAGGCTACTGCGGGATCATACGTACATGTTCCGGAGTCTGATGGAGGTTCATGAACGGCAGCAGGATCACAGACTGTTTAACTGCCCTACCTGCTCCTCAAGTTCCATAGCCTCCTCACCCAGATGCCCAAGAACGCGGTGGGGGAGGCTCCGGGCACCCAACCACTCCACCCCAGTGGACAGCCCAAGCAACAGAAGGCTGTATTTCAAAAAGTTTTGAAGTGGCCTTTTCCTTCCCTCCTATCCTCCTCCCACACCCCACCCGGGCTACCTTGTGAGTTATCTCCCTATTTTTATAATCAATTAATAAAGAATACATGTTTTTTAAACAATAGTGACTTTATTTCCTTTGCAAGCAAGCTATGATCGAAGGGAGGAGGGCGGGTGGCTTACGGGGAATTTAGAGTCAAGCAAGGGGGCAGGTTTTCATCAAGGAGAAACAAACAGAAGTGTCACACAGTACCCTGGCCAGTCATGAAACTGGTTTTCAAAGCTTCTCTGATGTGCAGCACTTCCTGCTATGCTCTTCTAATCACCCTGGTGTCTGGCTGTACGTATTCAGTGGCCAGGTGATTTGCCTCAACCTTCCACCCTGCCATAAACATCTCCCCCTTACTCTCACAGAGATTGTGGAGCACACAGCAAGCAGCAATAACAATGGGAATATTGGTTTTGCTGAGGTCTGAGCAAGTCAGTAAACTGCGCCAGCGACCCTTTAAATGTCCAAATGAACACTCTACCACCATTCTGCACTTGCTTAGCCTATAGTTGAACAGCTCATGACTACTGTCCAGGATGCCTGTGTACGGCTTCATGAGCCAGGGCATTAAGGGGTAGGCTGGGTCCCCAAGGATAACTACAGGCATTTCAACATCCCCAACAGTTATTTTCTGGTCTGGGAAGTAAATCCCTTCCTGCAGCTGTTTAAACAGACCAGAGTTCTTGAAGACTCAAGCGTCATGAACCTTTCCCGGCTAACCCACGTTGATGTTGGTGAAACGGCCCTTGTGATCCACCAGTGCTTGCAGCACCACTGAAAAGTACCCCTTGTGGTTTATGTGCTGGCTGCCCTGGTGGTCTGGTCCCAAGATAGGGATATGGGTTCCATCTATAGCCCCACCACAGATAGGGAATCCCATTGCAGCAAAGCCATCCACTATGACCTGCACATTTCCCAGAGTCACTACCTTTTGTGGCGGTCCAATACAAGACAGGACACAGCTTTAGACAAGCAAGCAGGCTGGTCTGCTGATGGGATCACCCCTGTCAGCTTTTCCACCTCTTTTATTTCTCTCCCCCCTGCGCATCACATACCCCAACCGACCGCAAAAGGCATCAACAAAGGAAATAATATGACTTTGATTAATATTCCTATTTACTAGCCTCTATCTACTACAATCTTTATTCTCAGGCCTTGAGCTTCGGCCGAGGAAGCTTCCCACGGCTGATGTCCTTATTTTGACTTCCCAGATGGTCCATGTTTTCATGGTCCATGTCCTTGGATAGAACAGAGCAATGTGTGCATTGCTCCTACACAACAGTCAGGGTGTGCCCTGACTGTTTCTAGGTGCATGAACGCTACATGAACCCTTCATCCCCCCTTTTGTTATTATTATGCTCGGCCATCTCATGGTAGCCATCAATTTGCTTTTGTAAGTGATTCAACTCCCGGACAGAAAAGGACATAACTCGGGGAGCCTACCAGGGCGGATCTCTGCAAAACCTTAGCAAGGAGGGAATACATTGCACACAGCAACAGCAAAAAATGAGCTTAAGAAGGTAAAGTGTAATTGGCCAGGTCCCAATTAGCCATGCTAGAGTACTGGGAAGAGAGGTTCGCGTAAGCAGCGAGCATCATCTCATTTCCAATTTCCTCAGGGTGATGACATACTGGAATAAGGCATGTACCTAACAGTTCTTCAGCTGCTACAAAATCAGATAAACAAAAGTGGGTAACATTTGCTATTGAAGCCAATCTTTCCCATAGGTTATATGTCATTCGGGCTCGTAACGAAGAAAGCGCTCCCGAGCCAACCCCTACAGGAAATAGCAGGCACAAAAGGCATACAGTCAATACAGAATTAGCAGTAATTTGGGCAAGAATTGCCACAAACAAAGTCTCAGGAGTCTCTGGCTGTTGGTTTGCTGCCAGCCGTCGTTGAGCCGCGGCGACCAATGCTTTTACTGCTCCCCATGTCACGGGCTGGCTTGGGACGCTACGCCTCCTCCGTCTCCGTCCCACTGTTGTCGACCCGGGAGGCACCGTGTTCTCCTCCAAGGTCAGCTGAAACTCCGGTATGGGGTTCAATAGCCCCTGGTGCCACGCCATGCTGTTTCAGTGCCGGTCGCACACACCGGGCCGGAACCCACAACGGTCCTACAGGGAGAGACACAGCAGCATATCCCCGACCCCAAGTGATTAGAGGTACTGGGCCCAGCCATTGTGGATCAGGCAGCTGACGGTAATAGACACGTGGTCTTTCCAGCACCTCGGATTTATGAAAATGCCGATCCGCGGGGGTCTGCTGATCTGCGTTTAGCGTTAAGTTATTTAAAGTGAACAAAAGGATATGCAATTGTTGCTGAATGTCTCCCAAGGTTTGGAGACACAGCTCCCCTTGTTTTAATTGTTTGTCAAGCAAGGTTTTTAGTGTGCGATTTGCACGTTCAACAATGGCTTGGCCCGTGGAGTTATAAGGGATCCCGTGTGTGAGACGGACGTCCCATTGGACACAAAAGGCGGAAAGGGCTGTGGAGCAGTAGGCTGGGGCATTATCTGTTTTTATTTGGCTCGGGCGGCCCATAACAGCAAAACAGGCTAGCAGATGGTGAATAACTTTAGGAGTGGCTTCCCCACGCTGTGGGGTTGCCCAGAGGAATCCCGAATAGGTATCAATGGAAACATGTAAAAACGAATAGGGGCGGAATTGTGGCACATGAGTGACAGCCATTTGCCACAGCTGATTCGCTGCGGTACCTCTGGGGTTAACGGCATAAAAAAAAGGTAGGGGCAGCAGCAGCACAGTTGGGGCAGGAACGAACAATAGAACATGCATGATCAGCAGGAATGTGAAACTGTCGGGCCAAAACAGAGGCAGACTGATGAAAAAAGGAATGGCTTTCAATGGGGTCAGAGAAGAGGGAATTTACCTGACCATGTAACGCGCGATCAGCGCGCGCATTGCCTTCAGTAAGTAGCCCAGGCAGAGGGGTATGACTGCGAATATGAGCAACAAAATAAGGGAAATTATGAGTGGTGATGAGATACTGTAAGGACAAAAACAGGCGAACAAGGTCCGCATCGACCTGAGGGGTAATAAGGGCAAGGGGTAAATGATCAATTACCTGATAAACATAATGTGTGTCCACAATCAAATTAAAGGGACAATCAGCAAAAAGTTGAAAGGCCAAAATAACAGCAGCTAGTTCCAAGGACTAGTGAAGCTCTCCAAGCGCTGTGCATGCAAATATTGTTGTACAAGTGAATGAAGCGCTTTCAGCTTTTCTAGGGGGAGAGGCCACTGGTCAATCCATACGGGCTCTAAGGATTGCCATACTAATGGTACTACGGATGGCAAGGTGGGTGAGGGAGGATTTCGGTCCATTATATATTAATATCGAGGGTGGTGTCCAGCTTAGTAAGTAAATCACGGCCCCAAATATTGAGGTGGACAGGGAGCACAAAAGGGCAGATTGTAGCAAGGGCATGGCCTCCTGGTTTAGAGACCGTGACCCAAGACAAACTTTGGCGCCCGGGTTTGCTACCCCCGATCCCCCACAACTCTTTAGAAGGAACTGTTGGCCAACCGACCGGCCACTCCGGATCACGAATCACCGTAACGTCAGCTCCAGTGTCCACCAGCCCTGTAAAGGGAACATCATTTAAGAGAAGTGTTAACTGAGGTTTCGAGAGGCGGACCGACATTGTTAGAGCAACAAGTGGAGAGGACGTGTTGTGAGATGGCGACTGAGCCAGCGTCGATCCAAAGCCGCCTCCGCCCCGGTCTCGATCCTCCGCAGCTGGCACCTGATAGGGGACTAAAATCAATTGCGCAATTGACCGTCCACACGGGAGCGACTGTGGAAGATGGGTCCACACCTGGACCTTAATAACGCCATTGTAATCGGCGTTAATGACCCCTGGGATGACAAAAACACCCTGTTTCCCAGCGTGTGAGCGAGGGAGAACCAGACCCACAAATCCGGCAGGGAGAGGTCCCATCACCTGGGTAGGTATGGCGCAAACCTCCCCCGGCAACTGAAAATCAGCGTCCTCCTGCATAATCAAATCAAGCCCTGCACTTCCGGCAGTCGCCGCCTTCATGGAGTCTATGGGTTTTAAGGCAGAGGAACAGTTGTCTGAATGGGAAACACCCCCGTTTGGCCCTGGGTTCGGGGGGAATCCGTCCTGCGGTTTCCCGACCCGCTACGACACTGATTAGCCCAGTGATAGCCCTTCCGACACTTGGGGCACTTCTTTGAGGGGCGGGCGGGCGCCGTTGATGAGCGGCACTCCCGCTGAAAGTGACCCTCCTTACCACAGCAGTAACAACGCTTCCCCTCCTTCCCGGTTTTTCTCAGGGCGGCAGCCAGAACTCCAGCCTTATGGGCTTGTGTGCCGATGTTCTGGCACGCCTGCAGCATGTCTGAGAGCTCTAAAATACCAGAGGCTTGCGCTGCCTGGAGAGCACGGCGGCAATCCTCATTTGCATTTTCAACTGCCAATTTTAACAGGAGCTCGTGAGCTGCCTCAGTGTTATCCACCTGTCAGAGGATAGCCTCATGCAATCTGTTGGTAAAATCCAAAAAGGACTCTGAGGCACCCTGACGGATACTGACAAAGCTTTTGGTAGGCTTGCCTGAATCCGGGACCTTCCTGAAAGCATGCTGGGCACAGGTGGAAATAATGGGGAAGACGGCCTGAGGGAGTTGAGACTGCATCTCAATAGTAGCAAACTGGCCCTCCCCTGCCAACTGCTCATAAATGATACCTTGCTGTCTATACACCTGGGCTTGGCGTTCCGCCATCTGCCGATACTCACTAAGCCAAATAACATACTGACTGGGCATCAGCATCATGCGCAACAGCGCCTTCCAATCTTCAGGGATCAGGGTGTACCCAGTACCTAGCCCTTCAATGAGACCACTTACATACGTGCTAGTGAGGCCGAACTCGCAAATTGCTTTCTTTACGTCTCTGACCACCGAGTAGGGCAAACTGACCCAGTTTGCAACCTGGTTGCCCTGGCCATCATCCTGCCAGGTCACCGGACAAACTGAGACCAGATCAGCCAGCTCCTCTGCTGTAAGATCTGAGCGAGTCTTCGCTGTGTGAACCATTTGTTGCACCAGCGAAAGCCGCTGAGCAGACGCGGACGACCCCCCGGGGGGCCCCGGAGCATGGGGCCCCACGGGGGGAGGGTGATCACACACCGGCTCCGGTGGGGAAGGCCAGGGAGGCGGTGATAATAGAGGCACTGGGGGCAAAGCAGCGGGAGGGATGGTTGCGGGAGCGGACGGGGGTGGCAGGATCGGCAGCCTCTCTGTTGGCGCGGGAGAGGGCCTTTCTGAGGCGACACGCTGTGTCGCATCGCCAGGAGGGGGGGATGGCTGCAGGAGCGGATGGGCGTGGCAAGATCACCAGCCTTGCGAGGGAGGGCCTGTCCGAGGCGACACGCTGTATCGCGTCACGGCAGAGGTGCCAGGCATGTAAAGCCTGTACGGGCGCCCGAGGCTCTTTATGCAATGTCTGGCCCAACCGCTCCCAGTCCGCTAGCTTAAGGGTTCCAGCTTCAGGGTACCACGGGCATTGGGCACTCACCTCCTGTAGCAGGAGAGTGAGTTCTCGAGTGGGTCAATCATGCTGAGCCTTACACAGCAAATACTGTAGCTCACTGCGGTGTTGCACTTGCAAAGCAGAGAGGGAGCTTCCCATACTTACCACAATGAAAAATACTCACCGGGATCCGCGAAGCGGATGAGTGACGCGTCTGAAACCCTTGCCGGGCGAGGTGAGTGCTGAGGGCCCCACGTTGGGTGCCAGTTGTGGCGGTCCAATACGAGACAGGACACGGCTTTAGACAAGCAAGCAGGCTGGTCTGCTGATGGGATCACCCCTGTCAGCTTTTCCACCTCTTTTATTTCTCTCCCCCCTGCGCATCACATACCCCAACCGACCGCAAAAGGCATCAACAAAGGAAATAATATGACTTTGATTAATATTCCTATTTACTAGCCTCTATCTACTACAATCTTTATTCTCAGGCCTTGAGCTTCGGCCGAGGAAGCTTCCCACGGCTGATGTCCTTATTTTGACTTCCCAGATGGTCCATGTTTTCATGGTCCATGTCCTTGGATAGAACAGAGCAATGTGTGCATTGCTCCTACACAACAGTCAGGGTGTGCCCTGACTGTTTCCAGGTGCATGAACGCTACATGAATCCTTCAACCTTTGATAGCAGCAGCTCAATGATTGCATTGGCTACTTGCATCACAGCAACCCCCACAGTAGATTTGCCCACTCCAAATTGATAACCGACTGATCGGTAGCTTTCTGGCATTGCAAGCTTCCACAGGGCTATTGCCACTCGCTTGTGAACTGTGAGGGCTGCTCTCATTTTGGTATTCTTGTGCTTCAGGGCAGGGGAAAGCAAGTCAAAGTTCCATGAAAGTGCCCTTACACGTGCGAAAGTTTCGCAGCCACGGGGAATCCTCCCAGACCTGCAACATTATGCTGTCCCACCACTCTGTGCTTGTTTCCCGGGCCCAGAATCGGCATTCCACAGCATGAGCCTGCCCCAGTAACACCATGATCTCCAAATTGCTGGGGACTGCTGTTTTAGAGAAATCTGTGTTCAGGTCCTCATCACCGCGCTGCCATCGCCTCCTCCCCTGGTTTTTCAGGTGCTAGTTCTGCATAAACTGCACGATAATGCGCGAGATGTTTACAATGGTCATAACTGCTGCGGTGAGCTGAACAGACTCCATGCTTGCCATGCTATGGCGTCTGCTCGGGCAATCCAAGGAAAAGGGTGCGAAATGATTGTCTGCTGTTGCTTTCACGGAGGGAGGGAGGGTTGACTGATGACATTTACCCATAACCACCCACGACAAATTTTTGGCCCCATCAGGCATTGGCAGTTCAGCCCAGAATTCCAATGGGCAGCGGGGACTGCCAGAACTGTGTGATACCTACCCACAGTGCACCACTCGGAATGTCGACGCTTACCACAGTACTGTGGATGCACACCGCCGAATTAATGTGCTTAGCGTGGACGCATGCACTCGACTTTATACAATCTATTCCCCAAAATCGCCTTCTGTAAAATCGGAGTACTTTCGTAGGGTAGACATGGCCTTAGACACACCCCTAAGTATGGACCTAGGTAGTTGAGCAGGCTTGTACTCTGCTGGCTAGCCTGTTCCACAACCCATGGTGCAATGTCGACAGTGCTATCTTTAGCATGCTAGTTTGAGCTGATTTAGTGCATGTTTGGCTACCTGGGCTGGGATGCATGCTGCCAGCTGTAGTGTAGACATGCCCTAAGTGTCAATAACAATGCTACGTTCCTGTTGTACAGATATTACTTTGATCCTCTTTTCTCTGTTCTGCTTACCACTGTTTTCACCTAACCTTGTGTTCTCTCTTCCTTTCACTCCTTCATTCAGATCCTTCCTTGGAAATCTATCCACTTGCATCCTTTTCCATTTAAATAACCGTGCTTCTCATTAAATATGCTTACTCTTTTTTTTTCCCCCTGAACTGTTCATCCCTAAAACCTCATGATACAAATATTGTATCCAACATAATTTTTCTGTTTCCACTGTGTATTTCAAGGTATCCTTTTTTTGTCCCAGACAATTAAAATGCCTGGAATAGCTCAGTAGTTAGGATTGTTGTGACAAAAAAACTAATTGGATGGCATTGTGGGGAGTATGTAATGGTTAAAAAAAAGAATTGTTCCATGCTGGGCCAAATGGCCTTCCTCCCACCCACAAGCACTTCTGATTTTCAGTCTGAATATTAACCAGTGCAGCATAGATTGAGACTTAAATGTTTTGTAAGTCTCAAATGTGTTTAGAACATTTCCTGTTTCAGTCAACTGTATATTTTGTGGGCTACAGGAGCACAGTCCTTACTTATGGAGCCGTAAATTAGAGGTAGAGTGTGGTCTAGTGGTTTGAACACTGATCTGGATGTAAGGATTGGGAGTTCTAGCTCTGACAACAAGTGGGTGACCTTGGGCAAGTCATTTAACTTTGTGTCTCCTCATGTAAATGGTGTAATAATATTTACGAACTTCACAGAGTTGTTATAAAGCTGAGCTGCTGTTACCCAAAGCAGTTAGAACCCAAAGCAGTTGTATCGTAACTTTTTTTTTTAAGGCTTTATCAGGAATAAATTAATGGGGACACAGCTTTTTCGTCTGATATATGATTGATATAAACCAGAGTGCTTTTACCTAAAACTACTTCTTGTTCAGTTTCAAGCACGCGCGTGCACACACACATATATATATATCTGTGTTATAGCAATGGGCTCAGTCCTGTGGAATCCGGAGATCTAAGTTCTATTCCCGACTCTGCCACTGACTCACTGTGAGACCTTGGCCAATTTGCTGCCTTTCTTTGACTCTGTTTCCCCATCTAAAAAAAATGGAGATGATACCCTCCTTGGTCATGTGTCTTGAAATCTATAGATGAAAAGTGTATACATGTGCTGCTGCTATTGATTTATTTATAGCTAATATTGTATTAGATTTCTCAGCCCAAGACTCTGAAAATAGGAGCAGCTTAAAAGAAACATAAGGAAGTACTTCTTCACACAATGCGCAGACAACCTGTGGAACTCCTTGCCAGTGGATGTTGTGAAGGCCAAAACTAAAACTGGGTTAAAAAAAGAATTGGGTAAATTCATGGAAGATAGGTCCATCGATGGCTATTAACCAAGATAGTCAGGGACACAACTCCTTGCTGTAACCTCTGACTGCCAGAAGCTGGGATTAGATGATATGATCACTCAATAAATTGCCCTATTCTGTTCATTCCCTCTGAAGCACCTGGCCACTGTTGGAAGACAGGATGCTGGGATAGATGGCCCATTGGTCTGACCCAATATAGCCGTTCTTATGTTAAGGGTATATTACCTAATTTTTGCAGAGCTAATGCAAATGGTATTTCTGAAAACACTCTTGGGAAAAGTCATATAGGTTGCTCTTTACCTAGATAAGCTTTGTTGGATCTTTCATTATTCAAATGGACCATACTAATAGTCTAGTTTTCCTTGTATATGAGTTGTTGGGAATTACTCAGACCTTGTTTTGAGTAACTGAGGATACTTCATGCAAAAAGAACAATGTGTTTGGAGTAGAGCCTTGGTTTAACAGAGGGCGACTCGAACAATTTCCGCAGAGCAGTGCATAGTTATTTATCTTTACAGGCTGTACTGTATCATTACTGCCTAATTTTTTGTTGTCTTTCATTGAATTATTGAACCAAACAGTTGACAAAAAAGTAGTTAAAGGGGAATCAGAATGCAAAATAACCTGGAAAATCACAAAACATTGTCAATAAAATGGACGAGGGCAGTTTTTGCCTGAGTAGTGCAGCAATCATCTTTATCTTTTAGAAAACATCCTTTGTCCAGCACTAGCATTTGTTCTATAGCTGTCTTAGGCTGGGAGATGCATTTCTTTTACTTGGTGTCTTAGCTCTGTTCTTTATGATCTAGGCATTAGGATCTGGTGTAATGTTTGGGAATTAAGCCACTTACTTTTCCTTCTGGTTTATTGAAGTATAACCTTGGGGTTAATTGTAGAACAGATATTTTTGGCAATAACAGAAAGAACTGTTCAATGAAGGACAACTTATTTAAAAAATGATAGAGCAAGCAAAAGTTCCATTTGGTCTAGGAAGGAGATTCCACCACCTCCCTAGGTAATGCATTCCAATGTTTCACCACCCTCCTAGTGAAAATGTTTTTCCTAATATCCAACCTAAACCACCCCCACTGCAACTTGAGACCATTACTCCTTGTTCTGTCATCTGCTATCACTGAGAACAGTCTAGATCCATCCTCTTTGGAACCCTCTTTCAGGTAGTTGAAAGCAGCTATCAAATCCCCCCTCATTCTTCTCTTCCGCAGACTAAACAATCCCAGTTCCCTCAGCCTCTCCTCGTAAGTCATGTGTTCCAGTCCCCTAATCATTTTTATTACCCTCCGCTGGGCTCTTTCCAATTTTTCCACATCCTTCTAGTAGTGTGGGGCCCAAAACTGGACACAGTACTCCAGATGAGGCCTCACCAATGTCGAATAGAGGGGAACGATCACGTCCCTCCATCTGCTGGCAATGCCCCTATTTATACATCCCAAAATGCCATTGGCCTTCTTGGCAACAAGGGCACACTGTTGACTCCTATCCAGCTTCTTGTCCACTGTAACCCCTAGGTCCTTTTCTGCAGAACGGCTGCCTAGCCATTCGGTCCCTAGTCTGTAGCGGTGCATGGGATTCTTCCATCCTAAGTGCAGGACTCTGCACTTGTCCTTGTTGAACCTCATCAGATTTCTTTTGGCCCAATCCTCTAATTTGTCTAGGGCCCTCTGTATCCTATCCCTACCCTCCACCGTATGTACCTCTCCTCCCAGTTTAGTGTCATCTGCAAACTTGCTGAGGGTGCAATCCACACCATCCTCCAGATCATTTATGAAGATATTGAACACAACCGGCCCGAGGACCGACCCTTGGGGCACTCCACTCCACTTGATACCGGCTGCCAACTAGACATGTAGCCATTGATCGCTACCCGTTGAGCCTGACAATCTAGCCAACTTTCTATCCACCTTATAGACCATTCATTCAACCCATACTTCTTTAACTCGCTGGCAAGAATACTTAGGGTGACCGTGTCAAAAGCTTTGCTAAAGTCAAGGAACAACATTTCCACCACTTTCCCCTCATCCACAGAGCCAGTTATCTTGTCATAATACTTGGAATTCCACCTCCCTCCCTCTCCTGCTTTCTTGTGGAGTTGGGATGAATTGTGAGTGCAA